GTCGCGCGCGACGAACATCGCGCTGGTGTGCCGGAGTCATTACGGGAGTTCGCGTCTTTGTGAATATTGAAGTGATTAAGAGTTAAAAACTGATAATATTGTACTAACTTTATGATTTATTAGTTTAGTAGACGTATTTATGCATTTATAACTCAATAATACTCGATTTTTCTTTAAAATTGAGATTTCAGTGCTATCATCAAATTTTGATTATCGATAAAGATGATAATTGCAGAGAAAAAATTGTGATTTTTTTGCAATATATAGAATATTACGGCTTTACAAGTATGTATATTTATTTATGGGACATTTATATAATAAAAAATCATGAATTTAATAATGCATGAACCAAATATTTATGTTAATAATAGCAAATTTATATCAATTGTCGGTAATGTCAACGTTCTTGAATTAGCTCCAGGCCCTTGGGGCCCTTTTTATACCGCCGAAAATTTGCCCAGGATTGACGGTCTTTAATAATATCTCGTCGATGTCTAAAACAAAAATGTCGAGTGCCAAAAGTACAAGCAACGCGAACAGACCTACAATAATATCCACTTTTTTGCGATAGAAATAAATAAGCCTGATGGAATTAAATCGCTGAAATCACTGAAATAAATCTATCAAATTAATATAGATTTCAGCGATTTATTTCCATCAGGAGCACCGAAGAAAATGTATTCTGTTGTGTAGTTTAAGCTGGAAACACAATAGACACAGGTAATAGGCACAGGCAACAGGGAATAACGAGCCGTCCAATCAGAGCTCTGGGATATAATATCAAACTCATCCTGTCACGTCCGTAATAGCTTGAAAATTTCTTTCCGAACAGACTTAAGTATAGTCCGACTAGTAAACACGTGTACCAGAGAAGAACGCACCTGACGCTTCTCCCACACCCACCAACGGCACGGTCAATGGAAGGGGGCTTTAGGAACGCCCATGGAGAAAACGTAGAGAGAAGCAGAAGGTATCCGCGCGCGACATAGAACGGACACGCCAAGTCCGTCTCCGCGATCTCGCCTGACCAATCACCGTGCCGTTCCCAAACGCTTTGCGCGGAACATAACTCTAACTCTAACCGAAAACCTAATTCTAACTCCAATCGAAATTCTAACTTTAATTCTAATCGTAAATCTAACTTTAATTCTAATCGTAATCCTAACTTTAATTATAATCGTAATTCTAACTCTAATTATAAAATCCAAGATAAGTTGTGGAATTAACTGTACTCACTAGTTGTAATCAGTAATATAAAATATATCCCTATATTTGAACAATTGCTTGAGTGCGTGATTCCTGGCAACCTCACCCTCCCGTTTACATTTAATATCATCGACATTAACGGAGGGCCGATCTAAACCGACGGGCGCCAGGGCACTGGATTGAGACGAGAAGCTTCTTCCTCCAACCACTGGGCTTGGGAATCGCACGGAGAGGACCCGCGGACACTTAAAGGAAAAGATCACCAGGTAGGTAAATTGCCTTGCTTTCCGCCAATCGAATCCGTCAACCGCGAACCGCGTATAGCATGTGCCCATTACACCCGCGAGCGCGCGCCTCGATAGACGCCC